ACTTGGCCAGGACGGACTGATCCTTGGAGAAGGACATCATGCTCAGAAGGGTGGAGGGACAACAAAGGAGAGGAAGACCTCAGACGAAATGGATTGATACAGTAACTAGGGCAATGAGGGTAGAAGTGGCAGAGTCAATGAGACAGGCTCAGGACAGGGAAGGGTTCAGACTGTTGCACACAGGGTCGCTATGAGTCTCAGGCTACTCAACGGCAGATAACAATATTATGAAAGGAGTCTGGACATCAGGAAGGCAGAAGGAAGAACGAAAACACAACTGAAGAGAGCAGTCGCCTTCTCTAACAGTGTGCTATAAAGTGGATGGGGGCGCTTCCCTGTCATTTTTGCTAATCTCAAATAGATTACTTAACAGATCAATAAGTTAAAACCCAAAGAATTTAGTTTTATGACTTGTCCAAGACCGTGCTTGCAAAGTAACCAGGTTCATTTGGTTCAAAAGTTCGTGATCTTTCCTGCACACTCTTGGGAGGGAAGTCTGGAGAGTGGATGTCTCAGGAAGGAGGTACCCTAACCTGGCTGGGGGCGTGAGAAGGACCAGGAGCAAAGCCAAGAGCACAGTCCCCCAGCGCAGCCCCGGCACGCGCGAGCCCGGCAGGCGGGCGACACTCCCGCCACCTGCCCATCGGCCACCCGGCCGGCCTCACCTGGCGGCCCGCGGCCCCCGTCCGGCTGCACCTGACGCCCCACTCGCAGCCCAAGCCCTTCCTCAACCCGCCCGCTCGGCCGCGCAAACCGCCAGCCGCCCGTGACGTCATCAGCCGTCGCCCGGAATGAGTCACGTGACGTCCCGCCCCGCTCAGCGCCGCTGGGTCATGTGACGGCCCGGGCTCCAGGAAGCCTGGGTCCACCTGCCTCGCTGTGCGGGGTCCGGCGTCGAGGGGACCCTTCCCGAGGGCGAGGGGTGAGGACAGGGCTGGCCACTCCGCGCGCGATCGCGACCCTGCGCGAGCCCCGCGCGCCCGGCTGGTGACAGGTGAGCTGGCCGTGCACGCGCCCCGCGCCCCCGGCCTTTGTCGGGCTGGACCACCCTCCCCGGGGGTCAGGAGCTTCGGTGGGGTGTGGAGGGAGGACCCTGGGGCTGCTGTCCAGGCTCTCCATTTCCACTTGATGGGAAAGTAACTGTCACACGTCCCTTTGACGCTTTGGCAAACGATGCCCACTTGCTTGACATGTGTCATTCTTCCAAGTTACCTGGAGCAGTGCTGTGTGGACATCAGTATTTCTTTTTCCTTTTTTTATTTGTTGTTGTGGTGTTGGTTGCCGTCGAGTCGAGCACGACCAGTAGCGACCCTATGAACAAAAGGCCGGAAACCTTTCTAGAACTATCGTCATTTATCAAAGTTCATAGAGTTAACAGAGGCTTGTTGTTTAGGAAGTGGATGCCACTTCTGCTTCCTTTTTTTTTTTTTTTTTTAACTCTGAAGTTAAATTAAGTGCTTGGTGAGAGCTTTCACAGGCTGGCAGGTCTGAATTTGGTGCCATAATGGACTGTGATTTTGGCCAAGTCGTTGCTGCTTCTGCTCTTAAGTTGCCTTTCTGGTGACATGCTGTTGTTACTAGTTGCTATCAAGTCGACTTGGACTCATAGGGACTCTAAGGACAGATCTAAACTTTGCCCTATCCTGAGCCATCCTCACAATCTCTAGAGCCCGTTTTTGCGTCACTATGTCAATCCATTTTGTGGAGGATCTTACCCTCTCTGTGACTGTCCACCGTTCCCAGCATATCCTTCTCCAAGGACTATTCCATCCTGACAACATTCCAAAGTATGTGAGACAGCTTCACCATCCTTGCCTCCCAGGAGCACTATCAGCTCCGCTGGAAAAAAAGATGAGCAGTCTCCTGCCCCTGAAACTCCACTGGAAGGTCAGCTGTAGGTCGGTTTTCATTCAGTACATGACGACAACAATAACAACACTTCTTTATATAGAAATATCACAAGTGGGCGGCTTTAACACATTTATTCTCAAAAAAATAAAAGGAAGATGGTCATAGGCTGGTTGCACCTACACCAGTGGCTCCTAAATTGACCAGCATATAGAGAGTTGCTGTGAGTTAAAACTGACTCGGTGGCACTTAACAACTTTGTTGTTGTTGTTACCTGTCAGACCCCAACTTCTGGTAGGTCCACCTGCAGTGAAACAAAATGCTGACTTTCAGAAATCATTAGCCAGCCTTTACTTCCCAGCCCATGTTAGTCTAGAAGCTCCATTGAAGCATCATAGCAACTCAGAAACTAGCAACAGATGAAGGGCATTGGCTCAGACTCAAACCAGAGTCTCCCACGTGAAAGGCTAGAGTTCTGCCACTCAGCTACCGCTGGCCCCTCAACTTATTCTGGAGTGATTTTTTTTTTTAATTCCACCTGGTCTTCAGTTAGTTCTATCCATCAAATCTATTCTTGAGATAGTTTTTAAATCCAAGTGGGATAAAGTCAAGACCATGTTTTGGCCCTGTTGGTCTGACTTTCTGTTTTCTCAGCTTTGATTTGCATTTGTATAAGAGTAATCAAGAGTCTGTCTCACAGTTGACCGTTGTAAGAGTAATCAAGAGTCTGTCTCACAGTTGACCGTTGTCCTTGTTTTGACAGCTAATACTGTTTTCCCTCTGTCTCTTTCTAGAGATGTGATCAATTTGATTCCGGGGTGTTCATCAGTGAGGTCCATAACCACCTCTTAACCTTTTTTTAAAAAGTTGTTTGCAATGAATAAATCATTGTGCAAAAAAACCATATAATCTCTAGGCTCTTTTTGCCACCAGCATCGTATTTTCCAACTACTAATTCTTTGTTTCCTACTTTTCCATTCCAGTCACCAACTATTATTAATGCATCTTGACCATATGTTTGATCAGTTTCAAACATGATAGAAAACCCCCAAGATCCCAGCTGATTCTGTAACGTAGGCCGGGTTTAAGAAGCACTGCACTAGAATGTTGTTTAAACGTGTTTGTATCCAGCGTTCCAGATTCTCAGCATGAAATGGTTGGATAAAGGATAGATCAATCCTTGTCTTCAAAAAATTCCAAGAGAAAGACCCAATTAGCCATAATGATAGTATTGGGGGGGGTTTAGTTACTTTTTTTTTTAACAACAGTGGTGGCCACGTGGGTGAAAGAATTCCGCTGCCACCCCACAGGCAGGGGATCCGAGCCCACCAGCTGCCCTGTGGGAGAAAGATGGGCAGTCTCTCGCTGTGCAGTTTACAGCCTCTGAAAACCCACTGGAGGGTCAGCAGGGAGTCAGTTCTGACTCAGCAATAATGAGTTTATTTTTTAATTAATACATAGTATTCTTTCCAATGAAAGTATGCACAGTCTTTTATGTTCCCTTTCAGCATGTGCCTGTGCAGAATATTAAGTGACACAAATCACGTTCATCCTGACTCGGGACCATTCTCAATATTTCTATCCTGGTTGTTCTGTTTTAGTTACTCTCACCTAAACTCGTGTATTCTTGTCTTTGTTTTAAAACTATTGTTGGCTGCTGGGGTGGCTGTTGCATCTTACCTGAAGGAGAGACGCTAACAGATGATGCCAAGAGATGATGATGATGATGATGATGACGACCTTTCCACGTAGGAGGATACCTTTACAGGGAACACTGATAAGCTGTATCCCATGTTAGACCTCAAGCCACTTCATGAGACAGGTGGACTAGCATACTTGACCCCTTTCAGAAGTAAAAGGGTACTGAGTGCCAGAATTGGGTATTCGAGGTGTCCCAATAAATGGCAGAAGGGAAGACACTAAGTACTGTCTGTTCTGTATCACCCAAGCATGACTCGACGGCCTCCAGACAACAATGAACTTGGACTCAAAGAATCTTATTTCTGATTATTACAGAGAAGGTTGTAGAAGACTCAGTCTCTTAAAGGTGTAAGATTTGTAGGACTTTCTCTAATGCTTTTGAACAACTCAGTCAAAGTCTTAATTGATCTGTGGTGCCCCCAATATTAAAGTTCCATGTGTCTCAACTTTCCTTTTTTCACTTTAAGGAAAATATTATGGTCCGAGTGCTTAATGGCTCATCTTTAAATTCTTTCTCTTTGATTAGCGGGGCCTGGTGTGAAGGACCTAGCAGAGTGTTGTTCACGCTTGGTCTTTTCTTCCTTTTCTCTTCAGGTTCACTGCTGACATAATGACGGTATTTATTACACCCAGTGCCCTAACCCTTCTCAGCAATGTTCTATACACAGTACAGTTAGCTGGTCCTGCTGATACTGCTAGACCCACTGCTAAATTAAAGGAGGTGTGAGGAGTATACAGCCTTAGCAGTTACAAACCAGCTTCACAGCAGCTTGGAACCCTGCATCTGTAGCTGTAACAGGAGTCTGGGACATTACAGTCTTGAACATTGCAGTACCGTGTCTAGGAAAGAGCTAATAAATGCCTTCAAATAATGCATGGAGGTGTCTCTCCCAGCCTTGTTTTAGTGTTTGTGAGCATGCACTGTTAAGGGTGCTTTAGAACCATGTGTACCCAATGGCTGTTAGCGTCTTTTCTCACGAGGTTGTTGCCAAGTGCCTTCGAGTCACCTGCAGCTCCCAGCGACCCCGTGAATAGCCACAGGTGAGAGCCTTGCCGCGTGCCGTGCGTCCCGGCGATCCCCACCGAGCTCACACCTGGTGTAGCCATCCCTGTGTCAGCCCTCGTTGAGGGGCTGCTTCTCTTTCACTGACCCGCTTCTTTCCCAGCAAGATGTGTGTCTCTAAGGACTAGTCCCTCCTGACGGCGTGTCCAAAGTATGTGAGGCAAAGTTTCTATACTTCGCGTGGGGAGAGGTGTATGCATGATTGGGAAAGGCCAGACTGCTGCATGGGAAATAGGAGTTCCACGTCAGAATGCATCATTTGTTCATTTTCAGATTTTTTTTAAGTGAATTTAGAAAGATCTTTTATGTGAGTTGCATACGTGTGCATTCATGCTCCCTTTAAAAAGTACAGTCTTCTTGCTGTGTCAAAATAACATTTTCTTTGGCTACAGATCCTTGAATGGAGCAGCCAATCCATCTGGAGGCCTGGTCTCGTCGCCCCGCCTCCTGGCTCTGGCTCTGAAGCCCGCTGAACGTCCCCCCACGAGGCACGGAGTGACTGGCCAGCCACACCATGTTGGACTTCCTGGCCGAGAACAACCTGTGTGGCCAGGCGATCCTGAGGGTCGTGTCCTGTGGCAACGCCATCATCGCCGAACTTCTGAGGCTCTCTGAGTTCATTCCCCCTGTGTTCCGGTTAAAAGACCGGGCGGATCAGCAGAAATATGGCGATATCATATTTGATTTCAGCTATTTTAAGGTAATCATTCTTGACTGCATGTTCACAACTGCCTTTTCTACTGCTGGAGTCCTGGTGGGGCCGTGGATTAAGTTTCCAGCTGCTGCCTGAAGGTCAGGGGTTCGGCCCCACCCTTTGCCCTTCAGGAAACAGATGTAATGTTCTGCTTCTATAAAGATCACAGCCTCAGAAGGCCTGAAGGCCAGTGCTCCCCGTCCTAGAGGGAAGCCGTGGGCTGGAGTCGACCACAGTGGGCAAGTTTTCTACTCAAGTGCTTTTTCTAGGGGACATGGTAATGAAATAATTCTAGAGAAAGATTCTTTAATGGAGCAGCCATTTAAGTCTAGAGATGGCTAATTTATTTATTATTGAGAAAGTTAAGGAGGAAAGCTTCTGAACCAAACCTAATAATAACTGCTATTAACTTAAACACTGGAGAAAAATGGGTGGTTTCTTCCCATTTGATTTACAGCCTCAGCAAGTCAGCTTTGAGTCATTTACAGCTCAATGGCTATGAATTTTGAGGTTTTGTCCAACTGGAAAATAAGACACAGATAATGTACGGAAGCTGTAGCAACATAATCACATGGTGGGGGAAAAATCACGCTGGGACAGTGATGTGCCCCCCATTGAAGTACCTGCAAATATTGGAACTACCTGCTAATATTGGAGCAGTTAGTTCAAGCCTGTCTTTCAGAGTTTTTATATCCAGCCTTGCCACCATTATTCCTTTCTGCAACATTGCTTTGCGTTTTCTTTGCATCCCTTTTAAAACATAAGAACACATTTGTAAAATACCGTTATCATTGCTTCCAACGCCTGATGCTCTCTGACATTTCGCTTTCCGGTGTCGTTCTGCTTAGGGTCCGGAGCTGTGGGAAAGTAAACTGGAAGCAAAGCCAGAGCTTCAGGACTTAGATGAAGAGTTTCGTGAGAACAACATAGAAATTGTGACCAGGTTCTACTTAGCATTTCAAAGCGTGCATAAATACATTGTAGACTTAAACAGGTATTGCTTCATTTGTCACAGCTTGTTTGGGTCGTCAGAATGAGGGTTGGGGAGAAATGGCACATTGGGACCTGCATCTGTCTGAACAACTTGACAACTTATCAGCTTATCTCAGACCTAATTGTCTTCCTGTGATACTGTCTTTAGTATTTTACAATTTATGATCATTTTCTTCTCTTATGATGTATTGTAACAATTTTGATTTATCCCAAATCATAAAATTGCAGTCCTGTAACTGTATAACTATGCTCTAGAATATTAATATGAAATGGGGGTGGGAGAAGTTATTTTTGCAATTTGTTTCAATTTTTTTAAATTATTTTTTGTGTGTGTACCATCAAATCGGATCTGACTGGTACAGGAGGAGATTATCCCTCCTTCTCCAGCAGACGTCTGTCTTTTATCATTCTTAATCTATGATTCAGCATCCTTTCAACCAAGTATTTTATTTTCTTCAGCCATTATTCCTAAAATATGTGTAATTCATAAATCAGGACTAGGAAATCTTTTACTTGAATTAACCATAAATACCGTATATCCCCACGAATTCCTATTCCTTATTCCCTGTTCTTAAGAGAATAGAGGACCATGATCTAGTTGAGGCCAGAATACCTGATGTTTTGCCTTGTTTTTAAATTACTTTTCAAAACCATTAACATTTTCTTCACCAGTGATTGACTTGCTCTGCGGTTTCCTTTCTAGATATCTGGATGACCTCAATGAAGGCGTTTATATTCAGCAGACCTTAGAAACGGTGCTGCTCAATGAAGATGGGAAACAACTTTTAGTAAGTCCTAGTGACCCTAGAGCACACCTGGAAGAGTGTCAGCCTTGGCCTGACTTTTCTTGTTTAAGACACAGGTACATACAGAGTAGCAGTTTTATAATAACGGAAACAAATGCCCATCAACAAATTAATGCATTGAGGAATTGTGGAACATTCACACCATGGAATACTATGCAGCACTAACGAACAATGATTTTGTAAAATACTATGTAACATGGGAGAGTCTAGAGAACGTTATGTTGAGTGAATTAACTCAGTCTCGTAAGTACAAATACTACTGAGTTAAGGTTTTTATATTACTATAAAAATCGAGATAGGATTTGATGAGATGGATTGATTCGGGGACTGGGGTAGTGGGGGTAGGTGTATCAGAGACTGTAAGATTGGTACAGGATAGAGCGGGGTTTAGGGCTGTTGTGCATAGGGTCGCTATGAATCGCAGGTGACTCAACGGCACATAACAACAACAACATACTAATAGAAGGATAACTGAGTAAGATGTACATAAATGTACAAAAGAAGAAGGGGTAAAAAAAAAAAAAAAAGAAGAAGGGGTGAAATCCCCAGGAGAGCAGAATTTAGCGAATGGATTTGGGGTGGGGGGGTGGAGAGGTAGGAAACAAATAGGAAAGATTGGGGGGGGCTTGAAAAGATGGGGCAAGAATAGGTATAAATCAACAGTAATTAATTGTATGTTGTTATTGTGTTGTTGTTGTTGATTGCCTTCGAGTCGAGCACAACTCAGCGACCCTGTAAACAAAAAAAGACCTGAAGCCCCTCTGCAACTGTTGAAGTTCATAGAGTTTCTGGAGGCACTTTAGAAGTGGATGCCACTCCTGCTTCTAAATTAATTGTATAAAGTACAACATACATGAATGATTGTATGAAACAGTGTAAATGAGAAATTGTATAAATCACATTGTACAGGAATGAAACACAATGTATATGAATTATTTTGTGGAAATGAATTTACAAAACAGAAGCAAAATAAGATACTGTCTTCACATGCCTGTTCATGCATTTAGGATATAGTGCTTTGCACAAAATTAAACATGAGTGAAAGACCAAGTGCCAGTCGTAAATCTCCTCAGTGGAAGCACTCCGTCTTGCTCTGTTCATTCCTGGTATCTCGCCTGATAGCTCGCAGAGAGCAACCACTTAAGAAATGTCAACTGAGTGAGTGGCTTTGGATTGAAGAGATAGTATTGAGAGTCCATTTTGGTGTCCCTGGCAAAAATGTGAAAATAGGCCAACTGAAAGAAAATCTCCATGAGTGAAAGCTCATTCTGCCTCAGTTGCTCCGTTTCCCTCCTGGGCAGGATGGGAAAGCCCTCTGGGAGGCTGCCTTTTCTTTGCTATAGCAAGACTTTAGGAGGAATGAATGTCAGTGTACTTTTTTTTCCTTTCTTTCAAACCACAGTGAACGTCACTCAGTTCTTGCCATCGTCTGTTTCTCTTTGTAGTGTGAAGCACTTTACTTGTACGGAGTTATGCTGCTTGTCATCGACCAGAAGATTGAAGGAGAAGTCAGAGAGAGGATGCTGGTGTCTTACTATCGATACAGGTACGCCGACCGGGACCACACGCTCTGAGCACTGCTGGCGGTAAAGTGCGGTGTGTGTCTCCAGCCGACTCTCACTGTGAACAGCAGCGATATGCTCTTGGCTTGCGAAGTGTAGGACTCTCATTGCTTCTGAATATGTTGTAGAAATTCAACAGTGACGCTAGAACCCTGGGGCTCTGGTGGCCCAGCGTGTAAGTTTGACAGTTCCAGTTTACCAGCTGCCCAGAGGGAGGAACATGAGCAGTTTCCCCTCATGCAGTTTGCATTATCTGAAAACCTGCTGGAGGGTTGGTCACCTCTGAGTCAGAGCCACCCCCACAGCAATAAGTAACAAATATAGAGTGTATATTTTAATAATCTGTGTATATTTCCTAAGAAGCTGTGATGTATATGTAATAAAGGCATTTGTCTTCCAACCAAAAGATTAGTAGTTCAAACCTACCAGCTACTTCTCTGGAGAAAGATAAGCCAGTCTTCTCCTGTCAGGATTTACAGCCTGTAAAACCCAATGGGGCATTTGTGCTCTGTCCTCCAGGAGCACTTTGAGTCAGAATATTCCTAAGTTTTATCTTCGAAACATTAACCTGAGTTGATTCTAGATATTAGCCCACCAGAGACTGTGGGAGGATTATGTATGACCTGTGCATCCCATTTCAGAAATGCCGTATTCCAAAGCAAATGCAAACCCAAGGATTTTGGTAAAGGGACTGGACTTTTATGTAAAAATAATACCCATCTTATAAGATGCTGTGTAATAATGGTCTTTTTGGAAGTATAATTTTGTATCATCATGATGTAAATCTACCCGTGATCCTATGCAAAATTATAAAGAGAAGTTGTGATGGAATTCTCGTGCTTCGCTGTGGTTTTGGGTTTCTGACCTGGAGGTGTTTGGCCTTTCTCGTCCCTTCGTGAACGTGTCCCAGTGCTGCCCGATCTGCTGCCGATTCAAACATGGACGATATTTGTAAGCTGCTTCGAAGTACAGGTTATTCCAGCCAACCAGGGGCCAAAAGGCCACCCAACTATCCCGAGAGCTATTTCCAGAGAGTGCCCATCAATGACACGTTCATCAGCATGGCCATTGGTCGGCTCCGGTCCGATGACATCTACAACCAGGTGAGTGGCAAACGTGGGAAAATGCTGATACCACTTTCCTTCTCAGTTACTCTTTCTTTCATTCTTCCTCAAGAAGAGGGGAGCAGTGTAAACCCTTCGGAACTGTGGTATGCGAGTGTAGTAGAGAAGGAGATGTTAATTTTGATAGAACCAGAGATTGTAAGGAGGAAATGGAATTTGACCTATGACTGCATTGAAGGTGCACTCCCTTAATTTGCAGTCAGGAAAGAGCGATGGCGTGTGGGGTGTGTGCTGGGTACAGGTCACGTATCAGTCGCTGAAGAAGGCAGGCCCTGGCCGTTACTTGTAGTGAGCATGTAGCTTGGGAGAAAAAGCAGCACCTGAGGGATCGCAGGAAACTAGGTGAGCGCTGTGGTAGCGCAGGGACACACAGGTGCCCTGGAGCGTGGAGCAAGAGCAGCGAGATTGCAACCGGTGTCAAAGGAGACCTGGAGGAGCACTGCGGGGCGGTGCTGGGGGTGGCACGAGCAAGCCTGTGAACACGGCGGCATTTGCACGCTGTCTCACTTAACTCTCAGTGTGTGTACCATCCCTTACTTCAAAGAAGACAGAGGCAATACCCTCTTGAGTTCTCTGTGATGGGACAGGTGTAGTAACGGGACAGCTCTTGGGCTGGAGGTAGGCAGTTTGGTGGCATCGGGAGGTAGAAGGAAAGCCTCGCTTTAGTGACACCCTACCGCAGTCTGAGAGCTCATTCCAGTGTCCAGGATCCCCGAGGGGACGGGCTGAGGAGAGGCTGCTGTGCCATGGGGCCGGTGGCGTGTTGGACGCCTGTGTCCTTTCCATGTCGCCAGCTGCTAACTCCGGGCGTGGGCTGTTGGTTGCAGGTCTCCGCGTACCCGCTGCCCGAGCACCGGAGCACCGCCCTGGCCACCCAGGCTGCCATGTTGTACGTGATTCTCTACTTCGACCCATCCATTCTGCACACCCACCAGGCAAAGATGAGAGAGATAGTGGACAAATACTTTCCAGATAATTGGGCAAGTATTACTGTTGGTCTTTGTTCACCGTCACTGACGGAACACTGCTTTTCAATTCTCCTGGCCTTTTGCCAGCAGTCATGATAAATAATGAAACATAAAGTCACTGTGGTAAAATGACTCTTTGAGTGTGTTGAGAACATTATACATGATCACACGAAGGATTGAATTAGTCCTCAAGAGCCCATTAGTCTTGTTCTTTAGTGGATGTTCTCACCATAACTCCACATATTAGAATGTATTTTGTTTTACCTACTGAACTTGCAACTAAATTATGTGATTTATTATTTTATTATTCTTCTTTTCTATTTTATCCATTTAAGCTAGTAAAATGTCATTTTATGAAGGCAGGTTTCACTTTGATAAGTTACCTGTCAACTAGCAGTAATGATAGCACAGTGGTTAAGCTCTCAGCTACTAACCCAGAGGTCAGAGGTTTGACCCCACCAGCAAGTCCCGTGAGAGAAGGATAAGGCAGTCGATTTCCTTAAAGATTACAGCCGTGGAGACCCCATGGGACAGCTCTGGCCTGTCCCGAAGGTTGCTGTGAGCTAGATCTACTTACACGTCACTACCAGGTTGGGTTGGTTACCAGAATGAGTCTATTAAAGTTCTAGACTATAGTAATGATTGTACTTTGTTAATGGTTTTTGTTTCCATTAAAAATAATGATCTGTGAAGGAATAAAGTAATAAACATAAAAATGTTTTCTTTGCACATGGAATCTTTTTTTTTTCAATTGTTACAAGCTCTTTAAGTTCGCATTTTTTTACTTTCTTTTTTTGTTGTTGTTTTTTTTTAAATTATTAAATTTTATTAGTTTTAATGAACATTTACAGG